GATATACACTTATAGTGGGCCGGCTGTGCTGTGCACAGCCGAAGGCCGTCTAGTATATATATATATATCTCTACTATACATATAACCCAACAACTTTGAGCTTTTATGGTGTTGACACATGTCTTTTTTGGACCAAAGAGACCTTGTTTGTCCACTTGATTTACTTATTTGCCATTGGGGTTTAAGGCTTTTTCTTACCTTTTTGCTCCAGCCGAAAAAAGGTCTTTTCTCCACTTCTTTAGCTCCCGCGGGTTGATTGAATTCTTCCGCCTTTTTCTTCTTTTATGCAGAATTTCCGCACACGCAAGGATGGGATTTGACGGGAGCAGGTAATGTCTTTCCCTCTTCACAAACCCTATCAACCAAACCTCTCTTTTCCCAATTCTCACCGCCACCATACCTCCTCACAAACCCTACAAAGCTCTCATTTTCCAATTTTCACCGTCACCATACATTAAAGGAGCAACATTTCATGGAAAGTAGATTGAAATGGTGACATGAAGGTATTTTGTTGCTTTTAATTTACTAATATATTCTTATTTCATATTACGTTTTTAAATTTTGTAATTTTTAGGGTTTCTGCAGACCCGAACAGAGTAGTTCCCCCGCCAGCAGCCACGGCCAGAGCTCCCTTCGCGTCGCACTCCTCAAGCCCCGTCTACTCCACCACTCGAGTAAGTGAAGATTATCAAATTTCTTCATTTTTTTCAATTTTGACTGCGAGTTTTTTCAGATTCAACTATCGGAAAAGTGTGTACATGTAGATCAAAATTTGATCTGTTGTGAAGCTCGATGTGAGTTTATTTTCAGACGTCATTACAGCATCAAATGAATTTTTAGGGTAGATTCTTTTTTAATCTTCAACTTGGTAACATATTTATGCACATTCAGAATGTAGCAAATTGTTTCATTTGTTGCTTTTGAACTGATAGTGTGGTGCAAACTGTATAAAACATGATCCCCCTTGTTGTTTCAGTTTTCCTCTTCAGTTTAAAATGAAATAAAATGTTTAAGGGTTTGGAATAGGGACTTCAAAAAACTAAAGTAAATTTGATTTTATGGGTTAAGTGAAATTTCGTTTTGATTCAAGATTTTTGAGAGAACATAAGCTATGTTTCATAATGGGTTGTCTTGTTCTTTTTTTTTTTTTTTTTATGTCGAGGATTTTCCATTTACCAATAACACTTATTCAAATTTCAGTTGGGTCGTTTTTAGACGACAACCCATTATTCAATTTTATTTTATCTTTTATTTTTGACTAACTTTTTGGTTTTTTTATTCAAGGATTGACGCAGTATAGTGCATGTAATCTACGAAATGCGAGGTATGTTGTATTGGACCTTTTTCATGTTTTCAGTAGCCCTACATTTGTATTTTTAATGAATTTTATATTTGATTTTATTATCTTCTATTTGATTTATGGTTTGTAATAAGAAAACTAAAAATCATGCCTTGCTTTGTTCGTTTAGAGACATTTAGCAAACCTGTATCTGGTTCTGATGAGCCCCAGCATAATGGTTGGTTCCAATCCTTCACAATTGCTGCATACAGACCCTACTTTGATGTTGACACGTCTGATGTTTTAGAAAGGATCGGAGATTCACTCTTTCCTTTCAGAGGAAGCTTCTCCGAGAAGACTGCAAGCAACCCAGATTTGTAAGTCTTGCTGTGTTGCTTCGTTTTCTTGCAATTATTTATGTATACTTTCCAAATGTACTTGATTGTTTGTTTTGATTATATTGCCTTTTGCTTTATGGAGCTGGGCATATTAAGTTGATAATGGAATAACAGGCATCTTTCTGATGATTATCTATACAAAGGGTCAGTGTAGAGTTTGACCCTTTGTGGATCATTTAAGAGAGGTAATGCTTCAAGTTTATGCCATCTTTACGTAATCGGAAGTTTTGTTATTTAGCTTCTTACTTAAATCTGTGGTTCAGTTTTACCATGGTCCTATATAGTGATCCCTTATGTCTCCTAAAGCAAATGTTCAATGGGGTGTAATTGGAAGATAACAAGATGAATGATGACAACTACTCCACTCCGAACAGTTTATCCACTGTCTTTGTAACCAACTTCATTCGACTTCTACAACTTTAGTGTTCTTCTCATTCTGTTGTCGAGTCGCATTCTTCAGATTTTGTTATCAAATCCATCTTTTTTGTTTCCGTTTACAACCGTTCACTTAGCTTCCAATACATGGTATCTAACATTTTGTCAGATATGGGCCTTTTTGGATATGCACTACCTTGATATTTGTGGCGGCTTCCATTGGTACATTTGTCACATACATAGCACACAAGCTGCAAAAGAAGGAATGAGACTATGACATCAATCTCGTGACCTGGTCTGCTGGTTTGTTCTATGGCTATGTCACATTAATACCGCTTGCGTTGTATATTGTCCTCAAATACTTCTCTGCCCCATCTGGCCTTGTTCAGCTGCTTTGTCTGTATGGCTACTCCCTGTTTATCTTCATTCATGCTCTGGTAAGCTTAATATTATATTTTCTTTTTAATCCATAGTTCTTATTTGACCCCTGCAATTTGATTTACCTCTCAGTAATTATGTCCCTGTAGGCTTTTGTATTTTTTAGAGTCTTATACTTATTCTGCACCATTGTAATGGTTAGTAGGTCACACGTATTGCTAGAAATTTCCGTATTAACTTTGTCAACGGGCAAGCTCTGTGCAATACTGTGATTATATATCCTCGTGCTTTAGTTCGGTCAATGACTGGATATATATTAAGTTCTCCGTTAGAAGTTTGAATATGAACTACTAAATTCAGTACTATTACTGAAGCTTTTAAGGAACATCTGATAGAAGAGTCAATAATATTAGATTAAGTCTGAACTATTATTTGATAAAGTTTAACCGTGTTTGCTGTTTTCATAATAATTTAGTTGTAATTTGTAAGGCTTGTTTGCAAATGCTACCCTGGGAGTTTTTTTATCTAATTACTAAAACCCAATTATATTTAAACAATAAGCACTCCTGATTGAGGTTGAAATTTGTAAAATAGAAACAAATATCACACCACAGTATTTGTATCTGTAATTAGATTAGTTTAATACGGAGGTTTCCATCAAGATTTAATCAGGCGGCACACGATGCTTTTCTGTTTGCTTGCAGTGTTTGTCGGTTATCCCTCAGGAGATTTTCCGTGGGTCATTGCCGGTGTAGCTGGTTTCATGTCCTCCTCGTTTGTGGCCCTAAACCTCAGAATTCACATCAAGTCTGCCGGAAAAAGTTGGTTCCTTATCATGGCTGCTCTCTTCTTGTTGCAGCTTGCTCTTGCTTTGGCCCTTAAATTCTATTTGTTCACCGTGACCATGTAAAAAACAAGAAACCACAACAAATCAGGTCAAGCTTAGCCTTTTGAGTGGGAAGAAAATTAGAAAACAAAAACATGAACTATGTGAAATTGTGCATACAAACTAAGTTCAGCCTTATTATTGTATTAATTCATTTTCTGACAGTTTTGTATGTGGCCTACATGATGTGTGGATGAAAGATAAGTCACGACTCACGAGTACCGAATATATACAGCTTCGATTATGAGTGTGTACTTTTAGAAAAAGACATCATCATTATTCATTACATTGTGGTTTATAAATTAGAGCATCTTTAACAATATATCTTCATAAACCTCCTTTTACACTTCTCAATACTCCATATCATCTAAAACCTCATCCTTACTCTTACACTAATAAACCTTTAATAACAATAAACTTCATAGTCATAGATTTCATTTTTAAGGGTCTCACGTGTTTCCCACTTACTTTTAATTAATATTATACTCTTATAGTTTTATTAATATTTTAAAAAAACAACTACACTTTTTATTTTTATTCGATCTAAATATTTCATATGTTTATTATAAATAGATAAAAAATAATTATAGATATTTAAAGTTGATCAGGTTAAAACATTTATATAGATTCATACAATCAGGTTAAAAACAGTTTAATTTTTCCATGAAAACTATATATTAAAAGTAATATTCCATGAAAAAAATACTTTTGCAATGTAACATATAATTTGATTATAAATTAATTACATACCTAACTAATTAATAGACTAATGATCATGTATTCAATGTTCATTCAAAACAGTGCAAACTTATTTATTACAAATGTGCATATTTGAATTTTGGAATCTCCAAATTCATATAGGTGTATAATATATGTATAGAGCAATTGATATTGGAAAATTAGTATGACAATTTCCATACACATGACACAAGACAATCATAAAGATACAAAAAATATAATCATTTGCTCTTTGTTTTGCCCTAAACTCAGACCGTTGCTTACAAAACTAATTAGCTTCAACTATAAATTACCAATCAAATGCACAAAACAAATTAAAAAAATATTAATACTTTTGTTAATTAATAAAAAACTTAATAAATTGACTTCAACTTGATTTCTTATGGATTGATGTCAAATTATTTGAATGTAAATTTATAAATGACATAAAATGTGGGTAACTATGTTTTAAAATTTTCAAAATTTTAAAATATAATTATAGACCGGACTAAGGCCGGCTGTGCGTGCACAGCCGAGTCCAATCTAGTATATATATATATTCATATGTAATATGGATATCAATTGACAATAGTCAAAAGACGATTGATTTAATATATTATGATAAATTAATAGTAAATAAAAAGGTTAAATCTTTAAAATTATTTATAATTTCAGTTAACAAGTATATTATAATTCTAAAAGTATAAATCTTCAAATCGACATGAATTTGTTCATAATTGGCATGAATTATTCAGATGTAGCTTTAGATTCAGAGCACTTTTTGTGGATTTGCCATCTCCAGCTCAATTATAAGCAGGAAGTGTAAGGTTTGGTTTAAATTTGGCAGGAGGCATTCGGGACAAGTAGCTTCATCTGTCAGGCTCAAAGAAAAAGAGTCCCATGGTAATTAATCACGTCCGTTCCTTTTTTCCGGTTAATTTGGTTTTACTCCAAATGATTTGGTTATAACTTGTACTTACCCATAAACAATATTAATTGATACACGGTTAGACCGTAGTGCACTAGGACCACATGAATGAATATTTTTGTGCATGGAATATTTGTTAGATTTTCTCAAATGATTCCCAGATTTAATTCGGATGTTTCCTTGCTAGTTGATCGGTCTCTTGAGGGGTTGTGTGGCCATTCATGACCACAAATTCACATGGCCAAGTTTTGTGCGCAATACCTCAGGGCTAAAAAAGTTTGATTAGTCCAAGTTTTACCAAACATCACCCTTTGTTTTTTTTGCAATTTAGAGAACGACTAACAAAATTAGCCAAAACTATGAGCAAGTATTATATAAAAATAAAAATAAAAAATCATGTCGACGAAAATGAATAAATATGTAGAAAATAAAGCGCGCATGCGATTTACAATGCAATTTCACTAGCCACTAGAGGATCAAATACGTATATAGTCATGATGTACGAATTGCTCGTGTATTTCTTCTTTTTTGTTTACGACTTTTTGACTTCAATTTCGTTATCACGTGTTAGTGATAAACAATGGTAGGTAACTTGATTTTTTTCCTTGGTAGATGGTCTACCGAAGCCGATGAAATTATCTACTTCCCAACGGTAAAAATGAAGAGGAGGCTTCCCATCACCATCCTCTCTATCAGCAATAAATTTCAGCTAATCGAAAACAGTCGGTTTGAACCTTACTACTAAAATTATTTCCCTTTCTTCTCGACTCGAAACGACCTGCATTAATACCAAAATCCATATTCTCTAAAATGTTTTTTGTATTTGATGAAGAGAGGGGTCTCTTAGGGGCCGTGGTGCGACACAATTTGCATGTGGTGAATGATGAATTTTCTTGCTCTTTTTTGTATTCACGTGTCAGAGATCAATGACAACACACAAAGGACGTTGCTTGGAAGAATCCTTCCCATTTCACTTCACTCGTCACAGGCTAGCCATAAGTACGGTTGTTAATGAATCGAACGTTCGCGAACAAAAGCTCGTTTGAGCTCGTTCATTTGTTAATTGAGTTGAGTTCAAACGAAAAATTAGGCTCATTTATCAATGAACAAACACGAGTTGTTCGTGAATGTTCGAGAACATTGCTTCATTATAATTTTATTTTATTTTTTTATGTATTTACATGTTTTTT